ACACACACACACACACACACACACACACACACACACACACACACACAGAAGGTGAAGTCATTTTGAATAAAACTGACATTTTGAATAGGAGGTCAAATGAACTTTAAGTTCCCAAGACCTCCCTGGGTAAGGGACACCCTGGTATGAATGCTAGGCGAGTAGTCACAATTGAATAACCCAACCAACGGGAGCAGGGTAAGTGTACCACCAGAGACGTGTTCCTAAGGAGGTCCTCTATCCATAAATACTGACTGGTGGGGAAAAAAAACCCCGTAACTTGGCACAGATGTTTGTGGCTTTTCAAGCCTAATAGCTCTGTAAGATTCTGGCTCGGGCAGGGGTGGGTGGGGTTGGGGTTGTGAGAGGTGGGGTGCGTGTCACAGTTCAGCTCCCTGGTCTGTTCTGAGGCCCTGAGCGATCAATAACAGCTTGATTACAACACATTTTTTGTGATCTGCACTGACCGGGGTTCACACACGCTCACGCACACCACACTAAATATGTAAACAAACAGAGAACAAGACAAAACACTAAATCTGTTCCAAGTCAGAACTGTGGCTGGTATACAATTATACAGTGCCCCTTTATGGCCCTTTAGCTATGAAACTCTTTACCGATGCTGTTGCTGGAATTTCCAGAGTTTGGTATAAACATCAAAAGTTCTTCCGAAGTAGGACTGCCACTGCTTCTGTCCATACTGTGGCAAATCTCTGTAAGAGTGAAGTGGGCATTGACTTTAAATTTTCAGAAATTTTGTCTTGTGATAATATAAATCACATTGATTAAAGTACTTACCTTCAGGTTTTCTCTGTTATACTAAGTTCTAATTTTTGAAGCAAAAGTAATTCTAGGCACCAGAACACATGTTTTCCTAGTCTCACACGAAACTACAGTTCATCTTAGTATCCTCTGCACATGCGTCCCCCACGAGGACACAATCGTGTCTTCATTGATAGGTACTGCTGATTTCTAAGGTTTATCTTTAGCTAAGACTGCAGCAATCTGGAAACTCTGCTTTAAGGAATACAGCCATAACTACAAGCGGATGTGTAGCTGTGCTATTCTATCCCCTTCTTAGAAGAGAAATAAATACCCCATGTTCTTAAGCCTGATAACCATCATATCTGTCTTAGATAAACAAATACTCCCCATCCTATGAACATTGGGTCTAACCATATTAGCTTCTTTGGGGCAATGAATATAATATTAAGTTACTCCATCTTCATTTCACCACCTGATCTAAAACTGATTACTCAAAAGCCTGTAACAGAGAAGTGTAGAAGAATTTTAATCCATCAACACGGCTACTCTGATCACATCCAAAGATCTTCTAGGTCTGTGTGATCTAGCTGGAATGCAGACATCCCTTAGTACATATCTTTAATCCCAAACAATAAAGGTAAAGTTAGTTTGTAAAAGGGAAGTACCCATGTTTGAAAGTGATATCTAATTGAGACACAAAGTGTCAAATCAGAGAAAGATTTGACAGAATAGGATATGGCCAACTCTCATAGAAGAGGAAAGAGAGGCAACTTAAGGGAGAGCAGTGCAGAGAGAGGTAGGAGGCAGTTTTACCTGGGGAGTTTTATAGACACAGGTGGAAGAGAGAACAAGCTACAGGTGAAGACTGAATGAGCCAGAGAATGCGGAGGAGCCAGAAGACTGGAATAGATTGCTAGAGTTAATTTGAGGCCAAACAGAGCAATTCACTCAGAAGGTCAGAGAAACCAGTTTGATTCAGTCAGCTTGGAGAAGAGTTTGAACCAGAACCAGCTAGCCAGAGTTCAGAAAGAGCTAGAAAGGGTGAGCTTTATCAGCAGTAAGTCTCAGAGGCTGAAAACATTCTAGGCCTGAATTAGATTGCACGGAGGCTAGAAGCTTCTAGGAGTAGGCCTAGGTTAGCAGACGGAGGCAGTAAGTGTCCAAGATGATCATTACTTCAGGCGAATAAATGTTATATTTACCGAGAAGATATACTTAATGAATTTAGAGGGCTGCAGACAGCTAACAGGTAATTTGGGAGTTAGTAATAAATCTCCAGTAGTAAGGCATAAATATTTGGGAAAAGCTAGTATAAAAACTGGTGTTGAGAGAAGGTTGTTATGAGAAACCTCGAGATTGGACTTTGGAGCATCTAATTATTACCAAGGACTGGAAATGAAGCCACTGTGGGCTGACAAAAATCTGCCTGCTGTAATCTGGAATGCAGGTAATATGACAAATGAACTTGGGGTCTACATAAAGAGGACAAAAATAGAATGAGACTAGTTAGTCCTGGGTTGTATCAGTTAGTTGTACTTCAACAAAATTCTCTAAGAATAGTTAAATTCTGCCCCTTGCAAATAAAGAAAAAATAAGCACTTGAATCTACAAATTCAAGGAATTTCAGGACTGAAAGATTCAATTTCAAATACTTAGTTATAAAAAACACATTTGAGGGGGCTGGAGGGATGGCTCAGAGGTTAAGAGCACCACCTGCTCTTCTAAAGGTCCTGAGTTCAATTCCTAGCAACCACATGGTGGCTCACAACCATCTATAATGATATCTGGTGCCCCCTTCTGGCGTGAAGGCACACATGCAGGCAGAACACTATACATAATAAATAAATCTTTAAAACACACACACAATTGAGCCACACATGGTGTTACATGTCTGTCATCCAGCATGCAAAAGGTCTAAGCAGGGGGGATCCTGAGTTTGAAGACATTCTAAGCTACACACAGGGAGACCTTGTCTATAAAAATAACAAACAAGCAACAGCGCCAGCACACAATGCAGAAACACATTCATAAATGTTTCTAAAAACTCACCCTAAGAAAAAAGTGTAATATGAAAACCCAAAAGAAAACAACCAAAAACAACCCATAGTCAGACTGTTTTCTTGTAATATTTGTTTTGTGGCTTGAATAAAGAAGTTGTAGGCTTGTGAGATCCCTCAGTGGTTAAGAGTGTTAGCTGTTTAAGCCTGAGTGCAGTTTCCAGACCCTATATGACGATGGAAGGAGAGCACTGACTCCACAGGCTGCTTTCTGACCTCCACATGAGTACGGCATGTGCATACACAAAGAATGATGATTATGATAAAGGTTGTATTTCTATTTTCTTTGTTGTACAAAACAGGGTTTTAAAGACGAATGCTTTGTGCCCAGGCTTGGAGTTATCACTAAGAAAAATAACTAGGATTTGTCAGTAAATGACAGTACACAAACATTTCTCACATTTAGAGCAATGAACAATGTTAGTTATATATTTTTAATACTAATTTCCTTAAAAGGATTCAGAGCCCTTAGCACGACAGCCTAAGGAATCAGCCACGGCTGCTTTAGCCGGCAAGAACACCTGCTGCCAAGCCTTGTGACCTGAGCTGCAAGATTCACGCGGTCAAAGGAGAGAGTCAACTCCCAGAAATTGCCCTTCGGCCTTCTCATAATTGATGTGGCTTGTGTGCCCTACCCCTTCTCTCACACCAAATAAATAAAAGGAATTAAGGATCAACTATACAACTGTTTCTTTTGCAAAGTAAGGTTAACTATTTTTTTGCTATGATCACCCTTTTCCTAATGACATACATATTAGAGCTAACATATAAATCACTATAATATGCTTAGAGTCTAAAATTAAATAATGTATTTGATAACGAGTTTTAGACAAACTTTTCTTATATTTAGAGCTTGAATCTGGCTTTTAACTCTGAATGCATCATCCGATTATTACTGCTGTCAACAGAGATGGGGAATCAATGACTCATGAAATTAAATTAAATGGGGCTCTGTGAATTACCCCATTAGTGAAATGACCTTGCATTTCATTTCGCAAAGGCACTGGTGCTGTAAGCTGGCTGCTCACACTCTTTTTCTGATGTTTTAGAGGAATGTGCTGGGGTGACACCAACATCTCTTTAAATCCTTCGTGCTGTTAGCAGACACTAGTAGGAGGCTAGGAAGAAACAGACTAACACGATCCTTGCGGGTGTAGCCAGTGTGAAGCTAAGTTGTCAAAAATCTGGAAGTTTCTTTCAAGTTTCTATAAATTTACCATCTTCACTCACTTGGGTGAGCTATGATCACTAATGCCTACCTACAGATTACCCTTCAGCCCTCCTTACACCAGTCTTCTGTGGTATGACACCTACAACTCTTCTGTTTTTACACTGTCTTTCACTGGCTTCTTTTTCCTTAGTGTGGTCCTCAAATTGTCTCTTTTCTATGTTCTCGTACACATAAGTTTATATATACACGTGTGTGTAAAGTTGCTTGGGAACTGTGGCCAGTATGATTAGGCTCAAATTCAAACCCATTCTACCTCCTAATCTAACATTTTCTCTCTCTCTTTTTTTCTACCATTTAGAGTAAAATCTAGATTTCTTTATCCACAATTCTAGATATTCTTAAATCAGCAAGAATCATAGTGCTTTGTTCTTGAAGCAGAGGGAGTTTTAAGAAGATATTTTAAACTACTTGGTGGTAGCACATGCCTTTAATTCCAGCACTTAGGAGACAGAGGCAAGTGGATCTCTGAGTTCAAGGCCAGCCTGGTTTACAGACAGAATTCCAGGACAGCCACGGCTACACAGAGAAGCCCTGCTCTGTACCAGACAGACACATTAAGATCTAAGAAGAGCCTTAACAGATCTTTGAGAGTTAAAAATAACTGCTGAGAACAGACCAATCTGCTCTACTGTTTAATATGTTAGTATGACATTTAAATTGCTAGATTTTGCAGAAGCTTTGATTCTGAGAACCTTCCCAAAACTGACTGAACTACAAAACAACAAATTAAAAACCCACAGAAAACATTTTTCATCGATACTAACTCTGGGACCCTTGAACAGTCTAATTTGTGTCCTGAGAGCTGGGCACACAGAGAAAAGCCAGGGCCCGTACATAACGACGCTGTATGAGGACACAGGAGAGAGCGCGCAGTCCTCAGAGGTAATCAAACCTGCCAACACCCTAAGTTTCGACTTGCAGCCTCTAGGACTGGGAGAAAATCCACGACTTAAGCAACCAGCCTATGATACTTTGTTCTGGCAGACCCCCTCAAAAGAATATAACAAGTGATGAAGCACCCAACAATTTCCAAAACACAGGTGATTGGAGATAACAGCCAAATGCCCTGCATGCTGTCAGTATCTATGAAGGAGAAGTGAGAAGCCAAAAGGAGGCACATGATGGGACCATCAAAGAAGAGGACTCAGAATAGGCAATACTGATTAACCAGAGAGCTGTGTGGGCCCGGGTGAGGACAGAAGCCCAAACTGGGTAATTTGGCTTGAGCCATGAGCCACAAAGCCACACAGAGCTACTTAGTACTAGAAATGATAATTTCTAGTCTAATATGAATTGAGATGCAAGCCAGTGTAAAACAGTCACTGCATCTAAGGACTAGATATGGAAAAGAACATGTATTTCTTGAAAAGTTCTACACAGATCATATGATAAAACAGAGCTATTGACACACTGAATCAAACAACACATTTATTAATGTTTCTTTTTAGTTAGAATATAAAACTACATTTGTGGCTCACATTAAATCTGTCTTTATTATTATTTTATTATCATTATTTTACCTGATCTTATTGTGTGGCCCTGGCTGGCCTGCAACTTGTGGTGATCCTCCTGCCTCTGCCTCCCAAGGCTGAGATTACAACTGTCCCATGCCCAGCTCACATTAAATTTCTAATACTAAGTCAATGCTTTTCTAGACTAC